CATCTCTGTGACCTGCAAATGGTCAGCTGATAATTCTTCATGAAAGGTTCACCAGGCTGCATCCTGGAATTGCCATAGTACTGCTGCACATAAACTTGCTCATAAAGGAAAGGTTGTGCCTTATTTTTCTGGCCTGTTGGGAATGTGCAGCTCTTTGCTGAGAGCAGGATGGATGAGGGCAGAAATTCTGGGCTTGGCAGAGGTTGCCCAGCACTTACTGCAGGGCTGTGTCCTTGTATTTCATGCACCTCTTTGGCCAATAACAGGTTGCAGCTGCACAGCAGCAAATGGGTGTTCAGACCTGAGGTATTTTCCTCATGTATTCAGACATGTAGCAACAAAACTTTTTATGGCAGAATAAGACTCATCCTCTGTCACTAATTTATCCATAAAGCTCCAACAGTCGCTACAAAAGTTAAGAAAGGGCTTTTGTGGCAGTGTTTTTCTCTTTGTTCTGTTTTCCGTCACTAATGTGTGTTTTATTTGGCCTGAATGCTGCTGCCCAGCACAGCTGGCTCACACAACACACTACTAAAAAATAGAATTTTGGGCTGGAAAACACAACAGAATTCTAAGAACAGCTCTTCTCAGAAGCAGTTCTGTGCAGGAGGAGCAAATACCTTTCCAGTGCACTCGTTCATCACATCACTTCAAATTATGGGCAGCCAGGCTCTGTCACAAGGGGATGCCCTGCACTGAGGAGCCCCAGTGATTTCAGTGCAGTTATTTGGGAAATAATGTACTGAGTAATGCTATCAGAGCTTTCAGTCTGCTGCAGTGACTTTACTTGCATCATTAAAAGTACCAACTGGAAAAAAAAAAAAAATGGAAGTGGTGGAACACCTGGATAAGTGTTTTCTATTCAGTAATCCCAGACAATACTCTCAAACTAGAGGGTGACAGTATTAATGCAAGGCTAAATGACAGTAATGGTTCCTATACCCCCCCCTCAACAGGGAAAATTTCATATAATTAAAGAATGTATAATGAGGACAATATGACTCATGGGTGTGCTACCATTTGAACATGAATTTTGGTCTAAAAGTTTAGGGTGTTTGCCTTCCCAAGGCAGACATTGTGAATGCCTAGCAGAAAATACAAAATACAGACCATTTTTCCTTTTTATTTATTACCTTTGATCCAGATCCTTGGAATGACAATTTACTGTTTCTGTAGGGGCAACCACTGCTTCTTAAAGAGGAAAAAATGAGACATTTAAAGCAGTGCTCAAACTAGAGATTTCTCTAAGCCATTATTCCTTCCCCCTGTTCAGTTTGTGAGCTTCAGTACAAATTCTTTTTTTTCTATTAAAGTTCTATTAAAGTCCTGTGGCTTAAAGATAACCAAAATTTAAAGCAGTGCTCAAACTTGAGATTTCTCTAAGCCATTATTCTTTCCCCTGTTCAGTTTGTGAGCTTCAATACAAATTCCTTTTTTCTATTAAAGTTCTATTAAAGTCCTGTGGCTTAAAGATAACCAAGAACAAAGAGTATAAATTAATAAAATGAAGAAACAAATTCCCAGTTAGCATAAACCAGCTCTCTCCTTTCTCTCCACTATTGAAATTGAAAGCAGTAGTAGCCAGTGGTGACCCAAAGCATTCTCCTTCTGTAAATAAACCTTTCATAAGAAAAAACACAGAAAACAGCACTGGCAGTATTAAATCTGTCCATCATGATCTTTTCTGGATGTTGAATAGACTCCTTTATAAATCTTTTCCATCTTCTTAATGAAAATTAAATAAAACACTCCTGCTTTTTACCAGGTGGATATATATTGAGTCAACATTTGATATCTCCTATCAGCTGAGTTTAAAAACCAAATTTGTTTTCATATGTGTCCTTTCCCAAAAAGAAGCCATAAAGATATATCTGCACTGTCCTTCAAGGCTGTTAGACTGCTTCTGCAGTGTTCCTTCTTGGTGAAATTGCTTGCACAAGACTTGCATTCAGAAAGAATCTAAAGAAGACATAGTGTGTTTCCAATGGCTTCTTATTCAGTAGTCCCTAATTTCCCAGGACAAGCAGTTCTCTTTTCCATCAGCTTTATCTAAGGACAGTTTCTAACAGACTTTCATCCTCAGACTTGTTTCAAAGACAAAATTGGGCCAGGGGACTCGCCAGGGCTTTGGGTTTTTGTTGGATTGTTTGGTTAATGTTTGGCTTTTGTTTTTATTTTTATTTTAGAGGCACTTGCTCCATAATTCTTTAATTTTTTGTTTTCTCTTCACCAAATGGATTTCACTTTTAAGCATTTTCTAACTTATTTAAAAGTAAATCTTTACATCTCCAAAAAACGCAGCTCCTCAAGGAGATTAGTCCATAAAACAAGGGATCTTTCAGAATAAACAGGAAATTAATCTGAACTGCACCAAAAGCTGTCTGCTGTGGACTTAATAGAAGTACTGTGAGGAACCTAATATCAAAACACATCCCCAGTCCCATCACAATTGGTCTGGAAGAAGATGTTACTATTTCAGCTCTAAACATTTATTGAATGATAATGATTTATCAGTTTATTTGTTTAAGAAAAGTCAACATCTTGGTGAAATGATGGCAGATGACTCACAGAGATCACCTGTATAAGAATACCTATCCACAAAATTCTGATACAAGAAACCAGATCAATAAAGGTCATATGAAAGGGAGAGAACAGACCTTATTTCATCCCCACGTCTTCTCATGTGATTAATAATTTCTTAAATTTTCCTTCTGCCTGTAAAGCCAGGTATTTCACACAGTGATGAAGGAATATCCAGGTATCCCACCGGCACCAGTCAGTGGAGCTGGACTCTCCTTGTGGGATAGGATCAGGAAAGGGAAGCTGAGAATTTTTTCCCTATGCTTTTGTAAATCCATACCTTAATGTGACTGCAAAGGGAAACATTCTGCTGGAACAAGGAGGAACAGGAGTTTCAAAATATGAAAAAGTTAAAAGCTGATATCTACTATGATTCTGCACAGTCCTACTCTGATGGTATCTGTAGATTAGAAAACAAGGAAAAGCAGGAAAAATTTAAACTGCTCAGACTTTCTTTTCTGATTGTTGCTCTGTTTCTCCACTACCTATTTAATCATACATCATCATTTTTTATGTAATACATGACAGGCATTGCAGCAAATACAGTAGATGTGTATGACTTCTACATAAACAGCATTGGTTTTGCTGAGAAAACCCTGCACACTTTTTGTGGGGTTTGCAGAACATCCTATCAAGTATTCATACCAATCACTGGATTCTGCTGTGAATTTCAGAGGTTTTACTGTAATAGGTCCCACTTAAAATAAAATCAGCTCTTTGACCCTTGAGGCTCAGTAAAGACCATGAAACCCAAAGAATCACAATGAACAAAAATGAAATCCTCCTAAGCTGATGAGATGTTAACTGTGGGTTACCTCAGTGATCAGCGTTAATTTACAAGTGCAAAAACCATTATCATCAACAAAGGTATATTAATTTTCATCTTTCAAGAAACTACCCCTTTTAAACACTGCAATTACTAATGACTTAGGAATCAGACTAAATAATATACAAAAATAAACAACCCTTTCAGATAATAGATACTTTCTTTTATACTGGCATATAACACAGAGAAATATTGTTTGAGACATCAAAGACAGGCACTGGTGCAAAACTGAAATGTTGATCAGAGGCAAAGGTATCAGATTATTAACTTCTGTACTAATACGTGTCCAGGACTTTAAGTCATCACATAATTAGAAAACAGGAGGAAGAAAACCATACAAAATACCAAAACTTACTAAAAGTGTTACATCACAAATGAAACCTCCAGTACCAAGGAAATAAATCCAGACAATAATAGTTATGATCTCTCTGGAAATCATTCAGTCCCTTGTAAAACACAATCACAGCAGACTAAATTCAAAATCTACAGTTAAAATCCATTCCATCCTCCTGAAATGAGGATGTCAAATTTTTAACAACAATTAAACTGTTGGAAGAAAATTACCCAGATGAGCAAAGCAGAGCCAATGCACTTGGGGACTGAGTTAACCAAATTCAAAACACCAAGAACAGGGCAATGACAAAAACCAACAACCCAAAAGTAAAGCAGAGTAGCAGACACTTGAAAATAAAATTGACTGGTCTTCAGAATAAAGTTTCTGCTGTTACAGATGTTACAGGGAATACCCTCACACCTATGGAAGTAGTCTGAATTTACTGTTCTGATCTCCATTATATCCCAGGACCCAAACCCTGCTGTCAGGAGTCTTAGCATGCAATAGTTTGGTAGAGTATGCAGAGGAATCCCCTACCAATCATATTGTCTCAAGAGCTGATGGACTTGTATGTGACTATTCTGAGAAAATAGCAGAGTAATTTTTTTTCCATAAATACAAGGTACCAGGGGAAGACCACACACCAACAGCATGACTACATTCTATGGAATGTATTTGAAACAATAAAAGTAACTCTTTCATTCTCTAATTCATTATCTGGAAAGAAATACTGGATGTACTTGAATGACACCCATACCACTCCTCAAAACCACAATGAAGTTCAAAACAGGCAAAAAGATGTTTTCATAACATTCTTCATTTTTTCAAAGCATGAAAAAATCATGGTAATTAAAAGTTAGTCTCTTTCATTCCAATAGAAAACCCTACCCTCTATGGCTTAAAAGATTTTAAAAAATTAATTTACCCGTCTATGAATTAAAGCATCAGTTTTATTCACAGAAACAAAACAAAACAAAACAAACAAACAAAAAAAAAAGGAAAATTAAAAAGAGAGAAACTCTTCAGCCTGGACAGCCCAGCAATGGGAATACCTGTTTCATGCAGCATGACAGCAGGCTCTTCCAGAAAATACCTGCAATGTCTTTATATCTCATCCCCAGCATACAAACCTTATATTTGACAAAGAAAATTTAAAAATACTTCTCGTCTCTCTTCTGCCTTTTTTAAAGTACATTCTCACATATAATATGAATTGCATTGCAGATAGCAGGGATTAGTGGAAAGCTGAAAGCTTCTTACCAAGTACCCCAAGGCGATAGTTGACTGTGATGACTATCACATTCCCATAACTTGCTAGAACACTGCCATCATATAAATTTCCAGTGCCTTCCATGTAGGACCCTCCGTGAATATACACCATCACAGGCTTAGGTCCCCCACTGTCCCGAATGTCTGGAAAAAATATTAAGACACATTTTATCTCAAGAAAGCACCAAAGAAGATACATGCAATATTTTAATTTTTTTTTTAATTTTCTTAGTGAGGTTATTTTTTCTTGAAGTGTTTCTCAAGCAACATCTTTTACATAAGGAAATGGGCAGGTGGGCACAAGTGCTTGTTTGTGGCTTGCTCGTTAACTAAAATTCCTATTTTTGAAACACTCTGAAAAGCAGAAAGGAACTGAAAATGGTAACACATTTGCTCAAATGCAGTGAGGCATTGCCCTGATTCTGACCCTGCTGAATTGGGTGTCTTCTATGAAATGTCTACTAACATAAGAGTGAGCTCATTTTGGCTGAACACTTCTGAAAGCTCAGTGCAACTTGCTGTTCTCTTAGCTAAAGGAAATACAACATATTAGGATAAACACGATTTCTGCTCTTACATAAAAGAGTTGATTTCTTCCTGTCCACTAATTTGTAAAAGGGGTGTAAAAACAGCTGTCTTTGGATGGGTCTGCAGTTTGAGTTCAAAAAGTACTTGAAAGTTGTTTAGCGCTTCGTCCTTGAATTGAGATTATTGATAACTTCAGCATAGCCTGAAGTTTAAGGTGCATAGATACTTCTTGGTTTCCTAAATCATTAAAAGGTCTGAATATTTGAAAAAATAACTGCCTGAAACGGTACTGAAAAATCCCCACCCTGTATTAAAAAAAAAATAAAAAATTGCAAGACTATCAAAAGTGACATCAAAGGCAGGGAACAGTTTTAAAATGTTAGAAACTCTGCCATTCTCTCTGACAAAAAAATTAGATATTGTCACTGTGTTTTGAGTTTGGATTTAGGTATCCCTCCACCCCCAAACAGTCCTATTTGCAAACAGATGCATCTACTCAGAATAAAATTCTGAATATTTGAACAGTGTTACTCCTCTTGAGGAGAATTGTTCCTGAGTACCAATTCAAAACAGTTAGTACGGACTGATATGTTTTTAAAAGTTAGGTGTTTTCTGTTGGACAGGAAATAAATCAGCTTAGGTGTAAATTTAAGCTCTTACATCTGATTAAATTGCATTTTGTTCTGAATTACTGGGTGCCTGAGTCTCTTCCACCACCCAAATCATAATACGGCATAATAGTCACTCAAAATCAAAAAAAGCCAATAGCAAGAGAGCATAGGAAAATTTCCCAGTGATGAACTGTTCTGAACATTCTGATTCAAAACCACTTTTTTTTTTGTCATTATGACAGTATTCAAGTAACTCCTCTGATTGCTTCCTTCAGCGTTTGAAGAAACCTCAGATGTATTGTTTATTCCTTTGATTTGGAAGGATCTTAGTTTAGAAGCTTTCAAGGGAGCTCTCTGCAGAACTGCTGGAATTGTTTCTGAAGCACTGTAAGAATAGGTGGGGGCAGCTACACTAAAACCCTGCTTTTGGAATTAGTTGAAAAACAGCAGCACAGATGTTTCTCTTTATAAAAAGCCAACTGCTACTATTACTTTGATATTGATTCTGATTTGAAGAAAATGCCAGAACAGGCAAGATCAGAAATTGGACCTTCAATATTGGAAGTGCTAGAAAAATCACTTATTCAAGACCAAAACGATGATGAAAGGTTGTGCATGAAATTGCTTGTATTGCTCTCCTTGATTGTGCTTTTAGTGAGGGCTTTCCAACATACAACTTTCAGAGTGTAAAGCTGGAGAGATTATTTATCTTCACTGTCTATAGGATGGTTTATGAGCTTCTCAGGCTTAAAATCTACACTGAAGAAAGAATCTTTCCAAATTCATATACTGTTTCTAGTAGATGCTTGTTCTTAGACTATGCTGCCTTTTTTTTTTTTGATACAAATATGGAAGCAATAATAAATTATTAATCTGAAATCACTGTGTGACTGTTCCCAGCAGAAATTGTACACAGTTAATTGTATGCTTGATGGTAACACAGGGGGAATCTGTCTCAGAATTCTCCTTTAATTAAAATTACATAGAATTACAGAGCACCAACTGTGAACAGCAATGAAATATCGGTATCACTGGCCTGTATATCTGGAAAATAATATTGGAATATTTGGAAAAGAATGAGTGTCCTTTATCTGAGAAAGGAAGCACATATTCATGAATAAAAATCTCATATATAAGGAAGTTATTCTTTGAGTAATTTCTGTCTCTACAGTACTGTTATTTTCTACTGCTAATATCCTTGTGAAGATTACAGATCAGATAGATAAGGGAAGGCCAGTTTGCAGCTCTGCCTCTGTGCCATGTCAGAGCAATTGACATGCAGAACGAATTTTCCTCATGCTGCTTTGCCAAAGCCATCAGTCACAAGAGGAATCCCTCACACAAAAGGGAAACTCTCCCTCTGAGTGTCTTGGGCAGAGATCTAGAACTCTGCTGGGGACATCAGCCAGGGTATGCAGCATTCAGCAAGGCTGGTGGCACTTTGGGCTGTGGGTTATACAAAGCTGTGGAGCTCCTCATGGGAAAAATAAAGATCACTGCATTTTGGTCAGAGATTTCATATCAGTTTCAGTCTACAGCCAGGAATATTTGAAAGGTGCAAATATTCAGCTGGGAGAGTGTTGTTTAAGTACACAAGTTATTAGCAACTCAGGTTATTAAATTATAAGATCGAAGGAAGAGAGCAAAAAATTCAGACTGTAATCAAGAATCGATTCCCACTTTAAAATGTTCCTCCATGAAAAAAAACTCTCATTCTTTAAAACTAAAATGGAGGAAGAATTAAGATAACACTCTGTCAGGAGAACACTTTTGTGTATTGGTACGAAAGTGGCAGAAAGATGCAGCTTTCAAAAGTGATTATTGAAGTTAAGTGTCCAACTCAATGAAGTAAAAAATTTATATTTCTGGCACTCAGGTACATTTCAAAACCTGACCATAAATGATACATCCTTCTTTTTTTCCTTCAGGCTGGTGTCAGTCCTTTTTATGCATGTGCTGGAGTGATCTCAGGACACTGTAGTTACACTTTCATATTCAGATTAATAGTTATTCATGGATGCAGATTAATAGTTATTATGTTTGTACCTCATTCTGAACCTGAAGACTTTAGGTGTAAATGTGGCATTTCTGCCAAGGGTAGATTTATAGACTGACTTAATTTAGTTGTGTTCTGCATTTTTGTTGCTTTTTATTAAGTGTTGCTTTAATTAAAAACAGACACATTCATCTTTTCAAAGACATATGCAAGGATAGCACCGTTAAAAATCCTTCTCAAATTCAACTCATTTCTGGTTTCAGTCGCACATAAGATCATTTTTGAATGCTGTGATTTGTTTGGCTTTAAATAGCTAGTTCATAAAACATCTAAATAGATCTTACTGTACAACAGAGAATAACCTTATTTATATTACATATACATTAACTTTCTTGTAATTATTTCTATTATTCATTCTCGTCTCTACCTTTCTAATGTTTGTTTCATCTACTTTTTATGTCTCATCTTAATTGCGTTGCAGACAATTTAGGAATGGGGCTGACTTTTATTCTATGTTTGTTTCATTACACAACAGGGAACCAGGTCTGACTGTGAATATCAGTCACAATTGTCATATATAACAAAACATAATTATAGCTTCAGTCATTCAAAACTGCTGTGAATTGGCCATGTGACTTAACAAGCATAATTTGCAGGGAACAACCAAAATGGGAAAGGAAAAAAAAAGCCTACCTTAAGAAAACTTCACAGAAAAAGATAATTAGTTTAGCACCAATGTCACAAGCATTGCTTTTCTAGATGGCATAAAAAATTGTGACAGCTTGATGCAGATTGTTAAGTAAATCTTGGGTTTTGAACAGGAAACAAGACTAGAACAGTGGAAAACTTTCAGACTGGTTAGTGCAAAACCTGTGTGTGCCCTCCATAGGATGTTATGTGGATATGTGTGTAACTCTTCCATGAGCTTTTATAGAAAATATTTAAGTAGAGCATGGTACCAATCAGTACTACTCTTAATAATTTTAAAGCCTTTTAACAGCATTTGACCTTTCAGTTTGAATCCATCAGATGCCTTATAGATGCACTACCACTTAATAAACTAGTGCACTTATTCCTAATATGAAAACATCCATTAATGCCACATTTTTAAAATTATACATAAAACTAGATATCCTGAGACTATTAAAGTAACTATAGAGCTTTTGTCAGGAGTTTTAGATATGTTTTCTATTTTAAAATACAGCCTGCATCCATCAGGCTTCAGACAAATAGAATTCTCTCCCTTTGTTTGTTTTCCTGCCTGTCAAACCACGGGATCATTTTGTGCACTCTCAAACCCTTAACTACTTTCACCTGAAAATTACTTGAGATCCTGATGGAGGACTATATGAATGTTATCCTAGCATGAAAAAGGCCAAAGCTTTTACAGGTAAACATCTGGAGCAGATTCCCATTAGAGTAGGACCTCAATAGCCAGGTAAGCAGTCATTTTAAATTATTGAAGGATGATGGTTAGAACTGCAAAAGCTGACAGACTCTTCACTATGCAAGCAATGCTTGGCAGTGCTGAAAGTAAAATGAAGCCCTAAAGAGGTACTTAAATTAAAGGTCTGTCAGAATTTTATCATGCATGTTTTCAAGTATTAATAACATCATCACAAAAATTTGACACAATTTGAACAGAGTGTCTGTGTGTAAAGGGAAAATATAATCAGCACAATTTAATGTGCAAGTGGCATTGGAAGCTGTACTTTGGAGAGGAAATCAGGGAGCTAACATGGATGGGTGACAGGAGGAGAAGGAATCATGAATTTGGCTATGTGCATCAGTCAACAAGCTCACCAAAGTGGTGAGATCTGTTCCCCCAGCCTGGCTGGCTCTCACTGAGGGCTGTAATCAAGGCTGGAGCATGTGGTTGCCTTGCAGGGCAGACAAACGTGTTCTGCTGTTTGCTGACCTCCCAAGTCCAAAAACGTGCAACCACTGCCAGACAGAGAGTGCTGCTGCTCCTCTTTCTTACCATGACAGCTGAAGGCAGATTGAATGCCAAATCTGGCATCCCAGAGTATTTTAGTACCAATGGGGTGAAAGGGGGTTTGGAGAGCCTCAACTCTGCAAGGTGCTCCTTCACACCAATGGCACTGCAGTCTGTTCAGCATAACAGGGGATTTGTAGATGAGTTCTGCATCATTAGCAACTTAAAATTTAAATTGTTTTTTGACTTTTTTGATTTAAAATATGCTCTGGACCAAGAACTTCTGTCAATGAAGTCCAATAGCCCATACAAGACAGAGCACCAGACTAAATTATCAGAATCATCACAGTTACAGCCTGTGAGCAAACAGCAGCATCTGTTCCTAATCTGTCTCCTTTTCCACAGGAGAAATTGAAAGGCAGGAGGGAAGAGCAGAAGCATCTATCAACTGCAGTGCAGACCCCATTTCTGAGGCTTGTGCTCTCAGCAGCAGACATGGTGTCTGCCTTCCTCAGGCTCAGCATCTGTACTCTTCCTTTCTAAAAATGGAATAGTAGCATTCCTGTATTGCAGGGGGATGCTGTGAGGCTGAATGCATTAAAAACTGAGAGATGCTCAAACAGCTCTGGGGACTAAATAGGGATTTAAGATTTACAGATTGATGCACCAGGCAAGGTGTGTATGATAGAGCAGTGGATGAGAATTCATTTCTGAGCAATCCTTGATGGATATTTCATACAACATTCACTACTTAGAAGTCCAGTTCTGATCCCAGAGTGCACTGGCTGGTTAATGGCTTGTGTTGCCATATTTTAGGTCATGCTTAGGATTTTAGTGGGCAGGAACTAAGGGTGCATAAGAGTCACTGATTTTTATTACTTATTAAATTTTTGCCAAATTAAATTATTACCTGACCAAAATTAAGACTAAGACAAGGCAATAAGATTAAAATATTTTACTTTTTAAAACAAAGCCTTGTTTCCAGACTGGGGATGCTACACTTTGTGTAACTGCTGAGAAATTTGAAGGTAAATCTTGCATCTACACTAGATATTGCACGCCTGCAGGTCAGCAAATGGGCAAATCCACCACTGCTATAAAGAGGGAAAGCCCCAGTGCTCACTGGTTGAAAATGCTTTTGTCATTCTTGTTTTTGGTGCCTGCTCAAGTTGTTCAATATTTACTGAAAACAGGTAAGCAATAGAAGTGTAGGAATGAAAGGGTTAAACAGAAAGAATAATGAATCCAGACTAGGGAAAAAAGGCATTTTTATGATTTCTGACTTTTCACACTCACAGACTTTGAAAACACCTTCATTTTTTCAACGGCAAATTTGCAGATCATTAGCTGGTAATGTGCACTACTGCCTTTGGGTCTTTTGAAAACAAAAATGAAAAATGATCTAATTAAGCCTGGTCTACTGGTTGCAGCACATACCAGAGATCCAAGTTTGATTGCTGAATGCAGTGCTTGTCCTGGCAAGGTTTGGACCACAACACTGTAGTAGTGGCATGCAGCAGCTGATGGGAGTAGGATTATTGAACAGTGTTTTAAAGGGAAATCTTCTAATCAAACTCAGATATTTGAGTGGCGCAACACAAAATCCTCTCCAGATGTTTGCTACAAGAAGCTGCTATGGAAAAACTCTCTTCAGAAAGATATAATACAATAAATAACATGAGATCTATGGATTTTTGGATGGATTTTTTGACCATCCTGGGCATTTTAGAAATCACTGGGCCTTGTTTACATAACATGGACTCTATGGATATCTGATAGCAGTTGTTTTGCACCATGTACAGCCCACTCTCCCTAATGCTTCACTTTCATCATTCATTCAGTTTGGCATTTATTTTATTTTCTCCACAGCTATTTGTTTGAAGGATTTTACACTGCCTAAAATCTACCAAACTCCAAAATTGTAGACTTTGAAGGACTGGTTAGCAGAAAACTAGCCAGCTAAGGTGACCTTCTGCTTGGTCTCTCTCTTTCCTGCTACTCATACCCAAACACATACGACTAAGTTTGTGAACTCTTCAGTTCTGCACGTGCAACAGGTGCTAGAGTTTCACAAAAGACCAGGTTCACAAAAATGCAGGAGTTCACAAAAATGCAGGACATCTGATCCTGCTCCTCCACTGGGAAATGCATGGTCTCAGCAGAGGGGGCTTCTATCAACCCAGCAGACATCCCAGCAGTCTTGAGTGTCTAGTGATCATAAAAATTTAAATTTTCCCTGTCTCTCTGTGCCTCTCGGAAGCAGTAAAAGTCTAATTACTGCCTGCACTCTTCTATTGGCACAGAAAGGAGAACAAAACTGTCACTTGTACGCCAAAGAAAATTAATCCCAGTCCTATAAATTACAGAGATTTATTAGTGCTGTAAATGTGCTTCTTCCTCTCTAGTTTGACTGCTGTGTTCTTACAGCCCTTCTTCTCTCTCCTGCAATTGTCAGAGCAGGAGACAGGTTTTCCCTGACATGGACACTTGTTCTCAGCAGACTGAGATCCCTCCTCTCATCTGAGCCTACATCTAAAGCGCTTTCTGACAGCAACCACTCTCTGCTGAATTTCAGTAAACTGAGGAGTCTCTTCTAAGCAGAGAAGGACTCAACAAACCTCATGTTATTAGCATCTGTCTTGGCAATTATACAGCAATTTAGGAGAGCTATTAAGGCCCACTGGGTGAACAGCCCAAATTTCAAATTGTTTCTTAAAACATATTGTTAAAACAAGACAGAGTCATTTTTGTAATGGCTAATTCACTATCTCAGATCTTTGAGATTTCATAAGAACGTCCCTTGCAATATTCTGTCATGGACAGAATACAAATGTCCTGACTTCATAAAACTAGGAGGATCTGAATTGTCATAATTAGCTCTGAATAGTGTGTGGCCTGATTTCAGCTGGGATAGAGTTAATTTGTGTGCTCAGGGTGAGAATAATGTTAATATTCAGTGGTTGCTGAGCAGTGCTCACACCAAGGCAAGGACTTTTCAGCTCCTCACCCCCCCCCAGCAAGTAAGCTGTGGGGGCATGAGAGGTTAGGAGGGGACAGAGCCAGGACAGCTGAGCCCAACAGGCCAAAGGAAATTCCAGATATTCCACATCCTGTGGCCTCATGCTCAGCATGTAACCTGGGGGAAGCTGGCTGGGGGTCACTGCTCAGGATCTGCTGAACATCTTAGCCAGGGGCCATGAGCAATTGCCCTGTGCACCTCATGCTAGGCATATCCTCATTGTTTTATCATGATTATTGCTATTATTTCATTTCATTTCTGTCATATTAAACTGTCTTTATCTCAGTTAATAATTTTGCTTTTCTATTTCCTTCCCCAGTTCTCTCCCCCAGGGGGGAGTGACTGGCTCTGTGCTGTTTAGCTGCCTGCTGGCTTAAACCACCACAGGAGAGCTTTCAAAGGAGATTTCCAGTTTATCAAAACCATCAAATCTTGCAAATTTTGGCCCAGCTGGTGGGCTTTCATTCATATGCTTAACATACAGATCCAGAAGAAGATCATAAATCAGTCATAAAATTGTGACAAAATTGTGTTCAATTATTGGGTAAGAAGTTAAATGCTCAAATTTGCCTTCCTTCATATTTTCTGGAAAGAATCTATGCTTCTGTTTAAGTTTAGTAGTTGATGTTATCTGTGATGAAAAAATTCTTAGTAAAGAGCCTTTCAGTCTACAAGTGAAATTTCATCTTATTATCTGGCCAACCTCTCCCTACCACCCCAAATATTAGGAGAGAAGCAAGCAGCAACTCTAGCAGTCCTATATGGTAATTTGTTTTACTCATTGACCATAAACCATACCAAGTGTGTGTTTGAGATTCAGAACTCTGAAGCACATCTACTTGAAGGGAAGAGACTGCTCAGGAAAAGAGCCCCTTGTTACCATTTTCATAGCCCTGAAAAAATATCAAATCTGCATATCTTCATGATCAACAGACATAATTTATGAACAGAATAATATGCTTGACATTTCAAACTTTTGATTTTACTTGGTAATAGGGTTTTCTAAGGGTCAGCTCAAGTAGATCAGCATCTTTGTATGCTTGCAGAAAACAGAAAAGACCAGGTTTTTTTAGTTTTAGTTTAGCTCCACAGAGCTTCACCAACAGGCAATGCTGCCTCCCTTCTGGAGGGAGGTGGGGTAGCTTTAATATTAATATTTTTTCATTGCAGCCTAAATGCAGATGGGTTGGCATTTGGGGAAGTTCTGTTGCTTAAGAGACACTTTTAAAGAATTTTCTGATTTTTTTCCTTTTATAAACACAGTATTTTCTATGTTTATCAAACTGAGATCAGTCAGTGAAAAAAAAAAAAAGAAACATCTTTGTACTTGGTGAAATACATAGGGTTAGAAAACATGCAAAAAGGTGTACAGAGAAACTTTAAAAGAGTGTTAGTTTAAATAGTATGGACAAAATTCAGTCAAAAGGTGGGATGCAACATATCAAAAGTCCATTTCAAGAAAACAAAAACCCTCCTTTTTAAATATTGTTACTGTTTTGTATCAAAACGTAGAACTTAACAACATTCTTTCTTTTAAAAAATTAAAAATATATATGTATAACAACAAGCAAGAAGACAAAACACATCAAAAATGGGAATTAAAAAAACAAAAAAACTCTTCAAAAGAAGACAAGAAGTCAAAAAAAGAGGGGAGAAAAAAGATTTTCAGGGATCCTTGTCATGCAAATCAGTTTGGCGGCAAAAAATACCTTCATCTTCAGCACCGTCATTATCACCTAAATCATCTGTCTGTTTCTTTGTAAGGGGACCTAGGATTAAGAACGGAGAAAATGGAGGAAAAAAGACAATTCAAGAATATACAAGACTGAGGAAAAAAAACAGTGAATATTAAATTCCCACGGACGTCTCAAGAAAAACATTTTCAGGGAGGGAAATCTTAGTTTATAACAACCCATTTTTCATTAAGTTTTTCAAACATTACAGCAAAACCTTCCCTCGGGGGTATGGCTATTAGAAACGTCTAGCACAAGAAGCAGAGAGTGCCCAGTGCTTTATTGTTTTTAAATGAAGAATCAAAGTTTGTTTACTAAAAGCATACCCCGCCATAGACCGTAGTTATCCACTTCATTTAATTGTTTTTTCCTGTTGCTGTTATTAGGAATAGTGGAGACAAGAACTGCCAAATTACCTCTTGCACTTGATGCAATAAGGTGGTTAATAAAAGTCTTGACAGTTGGTTAAAATGATATTTTCTGTCAAATGCTAATTCATTTATCTGAATTCGACCATTTAAGCTCATGCTTTGTATAAAGATAAGGACAGGTTTAATTTTGGGGTTTTTTGACACATTCATCACATTCTCTTTTAAATAGAACTGTAGATATCCTTGAAACCTTTGACTACCTGCTGAGATATTTGTAAAGAAACATGAAAATCCATATGTAAACCAGAAGCAAGAGTGAAATCCCAGACCAACTGAAGACAATGACTTTTGCCATTGATTTCAATGGGGCCAGAGTTTCATGCAAAAAAAGTTGTCTTGAATTGAAATTTTAGCTCGGGCAAAGCATCCAGGTTCATAATTCCTTATCTCCATAAAAGGATGATGAGACAAAATTCCTTTATGCCCAACACCTGTATTATTAACAAGTATTTATAGATTTATCATGTTTTCCAATGGGAAAAATGCCCACTTCTTTATTGAGAAATAAAAATATACACCAGAAGGAAAGTCAAAGGCCGTTCTGAAAATATTTCCAAGTCATATATTTTACACACTTACGCACAAACAAAAGACAGTTGGAACTCAGCATTATCTTTCCTTTTTTTTCAGAGCTCTCTCATTTCCATGACATTCTGTAATTTGCATGCGAAAAAGCAATCAGTAGAAACACAGGGCTAAGTAACAAAAAAAGAAAAAGCCAGCCAAGCACAGAGTAGAAAACAAGAAATTCCTCATGCATAAAATAGCAATAGACAAAAACAACAACAAAAAAAGGGATGAACAGTATGTGTTGATATTTGCAGTTGATGTAGGCAAGAGACATGCATTAAATCTAAGCACTGTGGAGTATTAAAACATTTGTATTTAAAAAGCTCTCTGTTATTTTACAGGATATTAGTCATTCAGCATTAAACTTGTCTTTTATAGGCAAAATACCATGTATTTGAGTGATGCATTTTTAAAAAAAATCATAAAATGTTTTTACCAGGTGCATGGGTTTAAGAAACAGAAAAAAAACCATGAAGTACCATGAGACTTTAACTGTGAATGTAGAAACTGGACTGTATTATTGAAAGCCAAAGCTCAATACCTTAATTCCTGCATCAGTCAGGAGTATAGTTTTTAACTCATTCTAAATACAGAACACTAGAATTACACATCATAAATGAAACACAAGCATTTTTATAATCACACCTGTAACAATCAACTCTCTTCAGCTGAAAGCCTTGGTGATTCAGGTTTTTGCTGCTACAAGCCCTGGATATAATCTTTGCAATATTTGGTATCTGGATAATGTGCCCTGATCCAAACACACACATTCAAATATATCTCTGCCCAGCATTTTCATACTACAACAACTTTACTTCCAAAGATTAAAATCAGAAAAATAAAAACTCTATGCAAAGAATGACAATAATATCACTATGGGTTTTCAGCGCAGAGATCAGGAAGGGTAAATTTAAGAATGGTAAGAGCTGTGCACTTAAGAATGGAGATGCAGACACAGGCAAGGATATATATTTATATATACACAGACACACACAAGTTCTTAGTAGCTTCTTATATTTTGAATTTTAAAAGTCACTAGAAAGGGACAAAGTGACATCTGAAAAGGCAACCAACACACATTGCTCCAAATAACTTGCATAGAGATGGGCAATTTATTTTCTAGATGAAAACAAGACAGTGTATGTTACATTTTTTTTTTAAGAGCTGGCCTTTGGCATGTATTTTATGTAGATCATGGTTCCAGATCTTAACTTCAATTACAAAGTGCATCAACCATCCCAATGTAAATGTCTGGTCTCATGCCATTTCTGATTTTATAATATGGTAAAGCATGACTGGGGCTAGCTTTAAAAACTGGATAATTTTCATGTTTACGCAGTTCTGAGGTTCTCTGAAAAACATTTAAAAAAAAAATTAGACCACCTTCCTTAAAATCATAGAATTGTTAAGGGTGGAAAAGACCCCAAAGATTCAGCTCAGGCATTAACCCAGCGCTGCCAAGACAGCCACCAAGCCACGTCCCCAGGAGCCACACACACATCTTTTAAATACCTCCAGGGATGGTGACTCAACCACTTCCCTGGGCAGCCTGTTCCAGTGCTTGACAATTCCTTTTTGCAAAGGGGCTGACCTATTTTTAAGTTGTCATAAATTAAACATGTTTTTTAATATAGCCATGGATCTGTTTCACAATCCAAGGGCTCTGCTCCCCACATCCCCCGAGCAGGAGGACTCACGTGGCAGAGCCACCAGGCACCACTCACAGTGCCTGGGAAACAGATGAGAGATTATTTCTCCCACAAGTTCACTCTGGTCTGCAAATATAATCTATTGCACCTTCAGAGAGGTTTTCTGCTTCCTGGAACTATAATGCTCTGAACCTAAGGAACCAAAGCAGAGTTTGGCCCTCAAGTGGCAGGTATGAACCTCCTCATATTTTATCTAAACACAAAGAGGTGCTGTGAACATTAATTTATATTTTTTTTAATTGCTGGGCAATCCCTAAAAGAGGCATCAGCTCAAGACCCACTGTGCACAGGGCTGTCTGAAAGGGCAAAATCAAGAGGTTCAGCCTGGAGAACTCTGGGAGGAGGCAGAGCCCTGTTATGATCTGTGCTGCCTGCTCCACGTTCAGATGCTGAAGACACTTTCTGAAGTCGTGAAAGTGGTATTAAGAGAAGCTCTGGATTAGAATTCCACCCCTTTCAGCAATAACTCTCATTCTAAAATCAGTAAGAAATGGCTTTTTCTTCTGATTCTCCAGATAACTGATTGCTCTGACTAACAGCCTCACTGTGTCTGGATGATCATAAAGAAAGATTGATGTTTTGGGTCCACACACAGGAAAACATTCTGAAATAACAAGCAGATAAACAGAATAAAATCTTATGGCAAGAACCTACAAAATGCAGCAGCAATAGCCTTTTTAAGTAAAAATAAATCAGAACTAAATTTGCTTAGTAGGTGTATAATTTTTAGATATTTCCTGCAGCTTTCAATTAATATTCTACAGATAGCTTATGATTTTGTAAATTAAATGTATCCCCCAACTAGTTTTATTTCTTAGCATTGACTGTTCATTCAATATATGATATTTTATGGTTCTTCCAGAATTTTAATATTCTTTTCAGGTAACAGAAAGTAATTTTAAGAATAGTGATACTAAGACATAATGGACTATGAGCCAGTAAAACAAAAAGGAATAGTTTACAAAACTATGATTGCCAGGAGTCTTTTGTCCTCGGTTACTTTTCACTGTTGTTCTACTCTAGCCTTCTCTTCACCTTTTGTGAAGGCCCAATTAATTTTACTTTTTGAGTATTTCACTTTCAAAAATATGCATCCATTATAAAAAAAAAAAAAAGGATTTTAATATGTTTAACTCACAAGCCTTCAAACAGATAATGCTGCCTTACTATACCAGCCTAAATTTTAGCTAAAGTTTATGTAATAAATATTAAATATCAACAAAGTAATCAGGTACCATAACTAATGGGGGGAAAAGAGGATACTAAAGCCTCTAAAATGCTGATGCAAAGATGATTTACTTATCAAAAGGCTCTCTAAGGTTTAGCTTCATTTAGTCTCATGTTGGTGCCTACCCATAACTCTCATTAATGCTAATGGAAAATTAGACCCCTAAGTCACTTTAAAAAGGGGGGAAAGTGATTACTGCATTTTATGTTTCCTAAAGGCAAGGAACAGTCTCGCTACAAAAGCTGAAGAAACTCTGTGAGCAGCAGGCACTCCTAACGAAGCCTATGCTCGTTTAATTTAAAAATAGTTCTTGCATTATTTAAATTATTATTCAAATATTTATTCTGTTTGTATTGCAATCAATGCTAAGGCACTAACATGATGCATTTTTAGATCCTGGTGGTGACTTGTAGAAGCCTTTCCTCTGCTCAAAGTAAGAGAAATAACACACCTCCTGTCCAGTTAGCTAAAGAGTAATTACGCTCTCAGAAATAATTAAATCCAGCCATATTAATTCTGGTTTTTATCATTCCCTTTGATGAAGGACTAAGGTACTTTAGCTCCCAAATACATTAAAGCTGATTATAAATTCTCTCTTTATGGGCTTGATTCGGCTGAAATTATCCGTGGCCTTTCGGGCCGCAGGAGTGCGGGAGGCGCGGAAGCTCTGGATGTCATTAGCTCTTTGGCCTGGGAAAACTATTCATCATCAAATAGAGTCATGCTGCAAGTTGACACCATTTTGTAAAACAACAGTGCAAATCCTCTAAACTTAATAAATCAGGGCTGATGTATACAGCCATTGTTCGGGCCAAAATGTTCTCCTTCGGTAATGAGGAAAGTGGGGAAGAAAAAAGGACCTTTTACATCAGGTTAAGTAGGCTCCATGGATCCAGTAATTTAGAAATCACCATAGCAATAATTATTCTTTGAGGTAAGGTGTCTGCTCGATGGAAAGGGGGAGAGACAAGACTGAGACTGACTGCTGAATTTGTATTTGTAGAAAAATTCACCAGGTGGGTTGCAACACTGTGGAATGTGATATTACATGTTTATCTTCAAACCTTTCTAAGTGCCCCCAGCCAGCTACTGCTATTT